TTTATTTAAATATTTTAAATATTAAAAAAAATAGATCATAACTAAATTTATACTATTTTTAAGCTAAAATTGTTACATGAACTCTACAGCTTAAGGGATAAAGTTTTCACAATGTTTCAGACTTTAAATTTAATAGACTGTCCTTGTCGGAAATATCATAGCTGTCATGAAGATGAAAGGCAAGATAAAGTAAATTATATGGATGTTTTTTAATGACAATCCTTTAATACTGTCTAATTTTTCAAATACTGTATTTTCAAAATTTATTAAGGTGATTTGGACTGCATGTAATCCACAAGGAATTCGAAATGATTTGGATGCTGCTAATAAATTAAATTCGGTAGTTGCACCACAAGCTTCTGAAGACATGTAAGCAGTATTGTCTGTTAGCCAAAAGTGATATTTTTTAGGATCGATTCTATGATGCTAACACGTTTCAAATATAGTAGCCAAAACCGTTTTTACATTACAATGTGTTAGGTCAGTTAATTTTGCTACTGTAATTACAAACTCATCTTTAATACTATTCCAATGAGAAAAACATATAATTAACACTTTTTTTTCACCCGTGTACTTTCATTAACCATAATTCCGTATCCGAAACACCAAGATGAATTTTCTTTAGAACAATTCTGACTAAAAGACAAAGCCACTACTTCATTATTACACCTTGCCAAAGTAGATGGTGCAACTCATTGTTGCGGAGACTCTCCTGTTAAAAGCTGAAAAACCGCTTTAGTGCATTCTACTGTTGCACGAATAGAAGTATGCCCTATAGTACTAATATCAGTAGCTAGTTTTACAAATTCTGCACTGTATTCTTTATTATTAACTTTAAATAATTTACTAACAGCATTTCGAAATTGAGTAGGCTTAATTTGTTTTGCATTCTGAATTGCAGCTCTAATTTTTAAAATTTGCTTTTTCTTTGATTGCTTTGCTTTGACCAATTGCATTGAAAATGAGTAAATCTTAGTATTCAAGGATAATCTATTCTTTTCTAACTGATGAATTTCTTTTTTTAAAAATTTAGATCTTGATTCTAATGCATTTATAGTGTAGTGATGTTTATAAAGACCAGAATCAACAAACTTGAAAGCCTTTTTTTGCAGATATGTGGAAATTATTTCTCCTTTATGAATTCCCCAAGGATAAGCCATTGTTTGAAAAAGAGTTGGTGCGTCAAATACTTGTTGATCAGGTAGATTACAGATTTGAATAATCATATCATTACGTTTTCTTTGAATTCGAGTATTTATTTCTTGAGATTCACAAATTTGTTTTATTGCACTATTAAAATCATTATCATTTAGTTGCACAAAAACTGGAATTATGTGATTAAGCATAGTGCTAGGATTATTTTTAATTTAATGCAACACTTTTAGTTGCTTGCATTTGCGCAAGCTTTGAATCTGTTTAAGTTGTTTACTTCTTGGATTTAATCAACCCATGAATATTTATTTTCTTGAAAGTTTATTTGTATATATCTGAATTTTATTAATAAATTTTTTTTGGTTTTTTATTTACATGATTACAAAATAATATGCCATATTTAAATAAAAAATTACAAAAAACGTTCTTTTGTCTTTCTATTTACATTCTATAAACTTCACTACTTAATCTAATAATAATGATATCGCTAATATGCATGTACTGATGAATAGTAATACACATTGCTTGACAATTATTTTCTCAACAATTTTGGGTGCTAGACAATTGTCAGAGAAATGACATAGGTTTAATAGTAAGTAAATTCTTGTCAGAATAGTCACCGATTACCATATCAAGGTAGATAATTGTCAAAGAAACTACATAGCTTAATAGTAAATAAATTCTTGTCAGGACAATCCCCAACTACTATATCAAGGCAGACAATTGTCAGGGACAGAGACCTAATTGTAAATAAATTCAGAACAATTTCTAATTACCATATCAAGGTTATGAAAAATAAGTTCTAGGCTTATGTGTATAAGCATAAAATTCACTTTTTAAAAGTTCTGGGTAAGATCAAATAGAAAACAAAGGCAGTTAGCAGAAAATCGGAAATTACTCATCCTCTTAAATACTAACTTGTTACGTTCTAGTTGCAAATTAAAATATCACTATAATTTGTATAATAATATTTTTCATGCAATGATTAATATCATCGCATAATCTTAATATTGTACAATTATGATCATGTTTTAAAAGTCATTATCGTTATTGGCTAACCGAGTTTTAATTTGAGATTGTTGTGCTTATGTAATAACATACAAAAATAACAAGAAGAAAAGTTTGTATGATAAATATAAAATATATTAAGTAAAATTTAAATCTTGCATTTGATTCGACACCTTTATATGATGCCATCAAGGGAAAACCCATATTCGGGCTTTTAATTAATTTGTGTCTAAAGATTTGATCAAAGTTATCTCAATGACTACTACTCCAAATTCGATGAAAATTTTTTTATTTGAATTCAATAGATATGCAGAATTCGAATAAAAAATTTCATCAAATTTGGTGCAGTAGTCGTCAAGATAGCTTCAATAAAATCTTTAGACACAGATATAATTGAAAGCCCGAATTGGGTTTCCCTTGACGATACTCATATAATATTTACCCTATCGATATATAAAAACTTTTTTGATGAATTGACATATAGAAAAATAGAAGATAAGTAAAATTTAACGTTGTTATAATATAAATATATATTTAATAAAATATGTAAAGTTGTTAAAATTAGAAAATATTAAATACTGAAAGAGAAATTGAGAGCACAGTGAAGTGTATTTTTCATAAGCGTTAATTAGAGATGCAGATCTTAAAATTTTATTATAAAAAATCTTGATTAGTGATCTTCATTATGCCGCTTACACTATGTTTGTGATAATACTAATGGTTGACACCCCACTCAGCCAGGGATAAAATAGTGTTGAGGGCTAAAACCCCGGGGAAAAATAAAAACTATAAAAAGAAAAGGGTTTCAGACTTGTAAAGGACAGATTATTACTTGCAGATATTTTGCATAGTTGGTTGCAAATAAGCTCGGGTGTAATTCTGAAATATTTAGTTCTATCTGTATAAGTGCCTAAAGAAATAAATAATAAAGAGAAACCTTTTTTAACTCAAAATGTCAAAGTTAGTTTTTCATTCAAATTAAATTACATATCTCATGATCAGCAAATACGTAATAAGTTGATTTCATCTCTTGATCATGTTGAACGATCTTATGAACCCATAATCGTTAAATTCACTAAACCTTGTTCACGATCGAAGCTAAACCAACACCACTTAATTTAAGCTCTCCCACTGGTCGTAATACTGGTAAAAAACATTTTCAAACCTGACCCAGTCTAAACCCAATTAGAAGTGTGAGCCCCAGAAACTGACTTAATTGCCGCGGCCCAAGAATGATCTAAGATCACGGGATCAAGTGCAATTTATCACATTTATTTGATGTATCAAATATATTAAACATATTGAATATATCACATATATCGCATATATCAAATATATCAAATATATTAAACTTATTGTAATACCAAATCTTTTATTATAAATGAAGACTGTGAAGGCCCTAAGAAAAATAAGTTCCATTCGCTTAAAATTATCGTTTCCTAATAAAAATTACTCAATTACCCAATTGACTCATATAAACCCTTAAATACCTAAGCAAATACATTCTAACTAAATACTTTTTACCCTAATCGATCACTAAGTGGCATAGTTAGAGATAGGTTTCATGCATGCTGAAGCTGGCGAAATCGGCTAGTCTGTCGCTAAAGAGCCAGAAAACTCATGTTACATCAAACTGAAGGCTTGAATAGAGGCGTGGCTATGATTTGACGAGTATGTATTTTATTTAGGTTTAAAGTTTTTATTTATCGAGAGAATTTTATTAACACTTGATTTTTGCCCTTACTAATATTATTTTAGGCGCATGGAAGATGATTTTCTTTATTATGAATTTTGCAGTCTTTTATACATT